GACCTGAAGTGCCGAAAGAGGGCCACACTTCCTCGAAGGCGGCCCGAAAACGGAAGAGAGGGGTCGTATTCTGACCTGGGACCCCCTCCCCTGGGACCCCCCTCCAGGACCCCCACCCCGGGCGGGGCAGGGATCAAAGGGAAGGGGCTTCCCTTCGACTCGAGAAGGACTTCGATTATGGCCTGGCTCGATCCGCCTCGAGGTGCCGAGCTTGGCAAGCCAAGACAGGGTCTCACGAGGGCCTCCGAGGATGGAGAAAACAGTTCGAATGCACGCTCGTCTCCCAGGGGTCGCTCCAGGACAACCCGGCCCAGAACTTCCCCTCTCACACGCCGACAGGGTCGGCGGATCTCCGGGACGAGGTCCGTGATAGGATTGCCCACGCCCCGGCGGCATGACTTTCCCCGTGGTGTCCAGTTTTTCTTCGCGAAGGACTTGGGACATTCTAAGAGTACCCCATCGACAACGAAAACATAATTCATGTGGTGCTGAAGTACGGTGGGAGCAGCGTTTGTGCTTGTCCCGCGTTCTGCTCCTTCGGAGGAGGGCCTGGCAGCAGTGTACGACAGGAACGACCCGGGGTCCGCGTGGGGCAACGGCAGCAGGATTTGGCGGGCGGTGGCGTGGGGCCCCGACCCCGGCGACCACGGGCCCGAGGTCCAGGGGCTGGGGCGCTACACTTTCGGCCTCCCAGATGGGGTCGGAGCAGATGGGGTCGGAGGATCGCGCCGCATCGCCGATGCATTGCCGATGCGGCTTGATGTGGATGCCGATTTGCTTCACGTCGACGTCGCCGATGCATCGCCGATGTCGACATTGCATCGCCGGTGCATCGCCGATACATCGCCGATGCATCGCCGATGTATCGCCGATGTATCGGCGATGCGGCGCGATCCTCCGAGCCCATCTACTCCGACCCCATCCAGGAGGCCTCTATACACCCCCCACCAGTTCGAAGACATCTCTGCACTATTTCTTCTTGGTGTCCACGGGAAAAGAAACACACGCAGCAGGGCACTGCGCTGGCCCTAGGCCCGCCCGCCTTTTCAAACAAGCCGAATTCAGCCAGCTGGATCTGGGTGCTGTTTTTTGTTTTGTTTTCCAACAAATTTACTCCGACGGTAGGACCCCACATGAGAATCTATTTAGCGTGTCCATCGCCCTTTCCTTCTTCGACTGGCGGAGGCCTTCCTTCCGCCCTCTGCGTCCTCCTCCTCCTCGTTCTCATCCTTCTCCTTCTCCTGTCCATTATCATCCTGCTAGTTGCATTTCTTATCCTCTTGCTCTTCCGCCTTCTCCTCTTCCTCCTCGTGTTCCGCCTCCTCCCTTCCCTCCCCCTCCTCATATTCTTCCTCGTCTTCGTCCTGTTTTTCCTCCTCCTCCATCTCCCCTCCTTCTCCCCCTCCTCATGTCCGCTTCGCCTGTTCTCCTCGTGCACCTCTCCTTCCTCCTGGTAGGAGGGCGCGCGTCGGTTTTCCTCGGCGCCGTCGCCGCCTCGGCCAGCACGGGCGCATCCTCCAATGACCGCATCGCGCCGCCGTTGGGACAACCCCGCCTAATACTCACCCATATTCAGGCCTCAGGAGCCCAAAAGTGACGACAGTAATAGGGTTCCGATGACCCGCTCGGATCAGCAACATGAGTTGCGAGGGCTCCCGCCTGAGACTACCTCGCAATTCAGTTGCAAACGTGGCTCCCGCCTGAGACGTCCTCCATATTCAAGCTTGACAAGCCCCAACGCGACGACAGTTACAGGTCCCGATGACCAGCTCGAATTAATAATTTGAGCTGCGGGCCCATAGGGAGGACTTCCTCGCAATTCACTCACAGACAAGGCTCCCGCCTGAGATTTCCGCCACACGCAAGCTCGAAGAGCCCCATAGCGACGACAGTAATAGGGTTCCGATGGCCCGCTCGGATTAGTAACCTGAGTTGCGGGCCCCACAGGGAGGGGGCTCCCGCCTGATGTTCTTCGCAATTCACAGACGAGGCTCCCGCATCAGGTTCCCGCCAAACTCAAGTTTGACGCGTTGAGAAGCGACGGCCGTTACAGGATTCCGATGGCCCGCTCGGATTTGTAGCGGGCCCCATAGGGAGGGGACTCTCGCTTGAGATTTCATCGCACTTCACCTACAGACGAAGCTCCCGCTTGACATGATTGGGTGGGTGAGTTAGTGAGTGAGTGAAGGTGAAGGTGAAGGTGAAGGTGATCATGATGATAATGGTGATGCTGATGATGACGATGGTGGCGGTGATGATGATGATGATGATGATGATGATGGGAGTGTGAGTGAGTGACTGAGTGAGTGGGAGGGTTGGGGGGTGAGTGAGTGGGTGACTCCGTGAGTGACTGATGATGATGATGCTGATGATGATGATGACGATGGTGATGATGATGATGGTGATGATGATGATGATGATGATGAGTGTGTGTGTGTGTGTGAGTGTCAGTGGGTGAGTGAGTGGGTGAGTGTGTGTGTGAGAGAGAGAGAGAGAGAGA